TGTGTGTGTGTGTGTGTGTGTGTGTGTGTGTGTGTGTGTGTGTGTGTATGTGTGAGTGCGTGTGTTTGAAATTATGTGCATTCACACAATCCATCAATTTAATATCATTATCATTATCATTGCTATTACGTTTTCTAATGTAGTCAATGTTTTTACGGACAACATTGTCTCGTTTGCTAAATTCAGATACGTGACGGACAGTATGGTTTCTCAAATTTAATCGGGAAATATTGTGGCAGAACTTTCCCACCGGAGATAACATCGAAAGAGCGTTACTTATGGTTGCATTTTCATTCAGATGAAAGCATTGAATATCAAGGTTTCACGGCTGTCTACGAATTCATCGATAGGAATCGTGACGGTAAGTAAAGCAAGTTAATGAATTAATGACATGGAGACCGATGTATGCAAAAATCTTTCCTTTATATTTATTACATAATAGTGTTTTTTTTTTTTTTTGTTTTTGTTTGGATGTATTCTAAATATCTTTTCATTCAAGAATGTAGAATAAAAATGTTCATTGCGGAGAGTCTAAATATTCGTAGCTTTCAATATTTTCCGAGTAAAGCCTTATTTAAGGTACTATTGTAATATGTTGCAATACTTTTGCAAAAAAGTTTTGTTAAAATTTTATATATTTATGAACATTGTTGGCATAGGTTAAGTTAGCGAGTAATTCTTTCTTGTTTAAAAAAAAAAGAAAAGGAATCGAGGATCAAATAAAAATTGTTTACCTTTGCGAATATAATTTTTATGGGATTCTTTTCCAGTGTTGCACTTAAAACGGGAGGGGATAAAAATCGATTAGTGCTTGTAATTGTGCAATTATCCGCCACCCATAGAGGGAAGTACTGTTATTATCTTATGTTTCATTTATAATGTTTAAATAATTTTGCCCGATACGTAATACGTATATTTTTCAGCATCAAATTAGCCGAACGACTTATTAACCGGCTTAAAACGGAACACTGCTGTAAATCTCACATATAATTTTGTAATATATATAAATTTGAAAAGAGCACGCAGTGCACGCAATTGTAAATAATATGACGTATTACGGATGTTAATTACATTGAACGAGAGGAAAATTGGCTGCATATGTGGCAGGATGGTTGGCTTTTTATTCAAATGTCTGTAACGCGTAAAACAATATGCAATTATATCAATACATCGGATACACAATAAAGCATATCTGCTTGAATTGTATGCAACTAGGAACTTTAAGTTAGGCTTAAAGTGTTCTTTTCATGATAAGGGATTTGCTTATCGCCAACAAGGAATTATATAAGCAAAATAACGCAAACTATGGAAAAACTGATTTTAGTTTATACAATTATAAAATTAATTACGAAATATTGCGAAATTTTTACGCGAAAATATGACTTCGAATATCTACGATATGATCTAAGATATGATCTATACATCGATTAGATGAATTTTCGTTCTATCTTGCAATCAACAAATATATTGAGGGACGAATAAAACAATTTGAACACTGTGCCATATAGTAATGTTTTGTTGCATTTTGTCAAGATTGCTTCCGTATAAGTAATGCCAAGCGTCTGCATTGCATAGTTTACGCATCAAGTTTGGTAGGTTATATTATATGCTTTCTTCTGCGATGATAAAAGCAAATAATCGCTGAAATATGTCACTGAAAATATCTTACAATTCGAAAGAAGACAATTCGTTGACGCTCGGTTAGCGGGGGAGTCGTTTAACGTTTCACATGAGCCAGCATCCACGATAATGAAAGCGTACACGTAACATGATGAAATATCGTCATCGGTGAAGAGATAGTGGATGAAATCCAAAGTTAAAAAGTATTGTGGTATCAAAGATTTTGATACAAGAACACAACCATATTCCGTTGAACACTGTTTAGGACCGCTACGAATCCATTCCATGAAGAATTGCCTCTGCCCTACAAGCTGTTAGGTTTTTAATATTATTTTCTTCATCTCCTCTACTACTCTCTGAATTACTTCGGCTAGTTCGTGCCGTATATATTGCCGTATTAAATAATGGATTTCTTTTTCCCCAAACTAATATATGTATAGAAAAAATGAAAAATCTAGATTTCTAGAAATTTAAAAATGAACTCTTATAACGTCTACTAGCTTCATTGTTCTAAAGTGTATTATCGTTTGCCCGAACACTATATTACAATCATTTCGATGTCAATTTACGAATGCGTAGATAAGGAAGCTAGAGGAGGAGATCGAAAGGGAGGATTCAGGATTTGGATAGATTTTCTCACAATCTTCGGTTGAGAGCAAACAGAAAACAAATTCTACTCCAGTTCAATTAAAGATAGAGTAGACCGTGACCGATGACCGTGACGAGCGTATGTATCGTCTTAGAATTATGCATCAAATTATCATATCTAAATTGAATGTGCTTTTTAAAGTGCACTTAAGGAGAATTTCCAGAATTTACAAACAAGTTTAACTTGATGCTCTTACGCTGTGACCACTACTTATACACTATGTAGTGCATAATTTATAAATATTATAATACATTATAATAAAAGTCAAGTTTGTTTTATTGTAAACATTAAAATTTGTATTATTCCAATTTGCTTGTCTTCTATTCATCAACGTATTTATGGAAATTTTCCTCTATTTCTTTATGCAAAGCACCCAGCACTGATTTGAATTGTACAATTGAAAAGGACGGCTTTGAGGGCTTCATTAACTCAACAGATGTGCCTCAAGAGATAAGGGAGACTGTCATACGTAATAAGATACCATTAGATTGTATGTGGCGTATACAAGTGCAGGATAAATGGAAGGTAACAAAAAAAAAAAAAAAAAAAAAAAAAAAAAAAAAAAAAAAAAAAAAAGAAAACCAGAAAAAGAAAACATTTACTTGCATTCATTTTCAATTTTATCAAGTCTCAGATATTTCTGTTTGGTTTGCATCTATCTATCTCTTCTTTATTGTAGATACAAGTGACATTTTTGAATTTCAAATTAAGCAAACCTAATGACTGCGAAGTAAATTTCCTCGATATTTTTCCTGAACAAACTGTTATGCCCATGAGGTAAGTTATGACGGTTTCCCGTACGAATACAATATTTTAACAAGAAAGCAAAATGAAAGAAATTTTCTCCTAACAATTATTTTAAAAAGATGTTTAGCTTCAATCTTTCTCCGAAATGAGAAATACATTTTTACCCTTATGTTTATCTACCGTTTCCATTAAAAAATGTCAATTACCTTTTTCTTCTTACCTACTACTACTACTACTACTACTACTACTACTACTACTACTACTATTGCTAGTATTATTGCTACTACTGGCACTACTGCTATCATTGTTAACATCATTTTGCCCTTTCCGCTTCTCTTATTACTATGATTATGATTTTATGTCGATCATTATTATGCAAACCATCGAAAATTGCTATCAACGTTATCATATCAACGATATTACATGTCTAAAATTTACTTAAATTTTCGTCTCTATTTTTTTTTTATAATTTTTTATTTTTTTCGATGCGACTTTGACGATTGCCATTCCAAGATAAATGATTGATGACATATAACATTTGCATACGTTTAGTTATATTGTTAATGTATTGATAAGAAGAGAGAGAAAGAGAGAGAGAGAAAGAGAGAGAGAGAGAGAGAGAGAGAGAGAGAGAGGGATAGGGGAAGGCAAAAATTGATTGATATGTAAGTAGATGAGTTGTAGTAATAGAATGATTGTTGGACAAGGGCGCTGTCAACCGCACATATCAAATTTGAATGGAGATTTCGGTTTAGTGTTATGCTTATGTATAATTTTACAAACATATTTTTGAAAATAATATGATTTCACATAATCGACATTTGAACATTGTGTAAAAGGATTCCGAATCATAGAACAGTTATGCACACTTAATCTGCGAGTATTAGGCTGACAAACGTCCATTGTAAACATTGCATAATTGCATCATTGTATCCTACAATAATAATAATAATAATAATAATAATAATAATAATAATTTGTAGTTTGATCGCTTGTCCTTTTAACTCTTAGGGAAAATTTGTAAAGAACATCAGTGAGAGATCGATAGAGAGAGGGAGAGAGAATGAGAGAGAGAGAGAGAGAGAGAGAGAGAGACCGACTAAGTTTTTTCAATTTACTCATGTTCAGTTAGTTGTATATATGACCTAAGATACATCCACCTTTCTTTGTATCAATGTAATTCCGTATCGTCTGGAATTATCAAATAAATTGAAGTTGATTGGCTTAATTGTCTGTCTGTGGATCTGTCTGATCTCTGCCCATATGATTTTATATTCAATATATTTGTAAAATTATTGCGGCACTTTCACAGTGTTTAATATATTGAAACGTTTTCGTCCCAGGCCAACGACCTATTAAAAACATATTAGATCAGGCTATTTTTACAAAACCATATCCAGGTAATGTCATATTTTGAAAGGGTTGCACTATCAAACTCCGCAGATTATATTAACATGGAAAATTTCGATCGGAAGCGTCTACTAGTCGCTCATATATACTTATGTCAAATAGAGAAATAAATCATTATATGGTAACAAGATTCTTAGGGAACATTAGTGCATAATTGATAATAATTGGGCGTGCAAACTTACTAAAACAGATGTAGACGACATAGATCCATTTCTCAGGCTCCATTCTATATAATGGTTATTATGAAAGTTAAGCCATTATACGCCAATTGAATGTAATTCTTAATATTTTATGATAAAAAAAAAAGGTGAAAAATTACGAAATCTTCATTGAGCAAATCAACTTTTATTGAATCCTTCCCCTATAAAGTCACTTAAGAAAAATATACTTTTTTTTTGCATGCAAACAAGATATCATTTTTGGTTTTTTATCGCGGCAATAATTGAAATATTTTATAAGGCAAAGTGGTGTAGGGTATATAACGGTCGGCTTTGCCCGATAGTAATGTTTTTACTTGTTACTAATTAAAATTATATTCCATACAAAAAAGCTTACCCCTGCAATAATTATAAACCTACCTTCACGATCTCGAAAAAGAAAAAACCAAATGGATTTTATGCCGCAAGCCACTTAAGCCATTGATGCTAATTGAATCACTATTAAACTGTGATCATTTTTTTAATAATTCATAAATAATTTAAAAAAAAAAAAAATGTCTGTATACAAACAGCCTCTCAAAAGCAATCAAATCAATTATTAGCTAGAATTCACAATACAATTTTTTTTTTTTTTTAAATAGACAGAAGCAATGAATCGGACAAAAATTGAAAAATAAAGCATTTTGGCAGAATGGCAGAATGGCCAAATTATGCATTTAACGGACGACAGAGCAATCTATTCTATGGGATTCTAGTAGACACGTGTCATACTTTCAGTGAACAACAATGCGATTGACAATCGCATCAGTAAATTTCTCTTCATATTCGACCTTCGTCATTGTTCGCGGGTTCAAAGCTCAAGTGCGGTGAAGTTTCCATTTTCTCGTATTAATCGTATTAAGTGCGTAGCACTTAATCAATTGGTCGCACATCCACTACGCTACGATCCTTCACCTTCTTTCTTTCTCTTTTCTTTCTTCTTTCTAAGAGTCACCATGTTAAACGAATACGGGACATCCCCTGAGTAATGATTGGTATTTAGAAAAAAAAAAAAAAAAAAAAAAGACGGCATATTGTGGATAATCCTTGGTACTGAAGGAACGCATTATCTGGGCCCATGAACCGATATAGGAATCGATAAAAGAAAAACTTTATAGTACTTTTTCACTAAAATTCTTCTATATATATATATATTTCAAGCGAACTCTATTAAAACCACTATGTTATAGGACATTCTGCTCCCGATAACCTTTCTCCATTTTTTTGGGTGAAAGGATTACGATATCATTATAGAGATTAGTGAGCAAAAAACTGAAGCAAAAGATTTTCACTGGCTTCTCTTGCAATTAGAGCACGGTTCTGGTAAAGCATATCCACCATAAGCCTAACGAATTTTTGTCAAAGGTCCGGGAGGCGTTATCGCGTTGATCGAAGCAATATGGCAAAATGTAACGCAATTATTTTACTCGAAATTATCAAATTTTGTATTGTTTTTGAATTTCCTCGGTTAGTGAGACACGACCCACCACTAAATACTCTACACCGTTTCATTTAATGCAGTTATTATCAAAATAAGGCTTTACATGGAAAGTGAATGAGATAAGACGCGGAAATCAGGTCCACTTAAGCGAGTACCCATATTTCCAACATTCCAAAATCTTTACATTCTTTAGCCAAATTGATGACAACAATTGATGATTGGGTGACCACATGTATATAGTGTCAGAGAAATAAATTCCAAGTCTAAGATCTTAAAACATTAGGATCTATTGGCTAATGGCTTCATTGAAAACTCTACGGCATTTGAGCTTTGAATCCACGACATTAAATTGTTAGTCGAAAAACGCATGTATTTAAAATTTTTTGCTGATTTATATATGTATAATCTACATAAGTGAATGGATCCAAGCTTCTTGCTAATGGATGTTAATAGTGGCGACAGAAAGCGAATCTAATTAAATTTTTGGTTTTTCCTTTCCAAGTTAACGAGCAGAGTGAATCCTTGCGTATCTTGTAGTAGTGCGGTCAGTTAAATTGACTTAACCTCGTCCATCTGCTATGTGTAAATGCGAGAAGGGTGCAGATGTCGCCCACATGGTTCACATGTGTTTAATGTTTCTCGTATTATTCTAATTTATGTGAATAATAAATGTAAAAACTATCTGTTGCTTTATCCTGCATTTATTTATTGTTGTTTTTCCTTTTCCCTCTGTTAAAAGTCACTGTTGATGATGATGATGATGATGATGACGATGATGATGATGGTATTCATATGCAAAACATTCGTTTACAATTCGAACCTTGTTGTAATTGGTTTATCTGTTTGTCTTCTTTTTTTTATTTTTTTTTTTATTATTTTTGTTTGCATAAAATTGATTCGATTGCCTTCGTTGACTTGCCTTCCTTTGTATTGCTGAGTGTATGAGCTAGTGTTTGTCTATAGTTGCTGAGTTTATAGCGACTTAAATAATGTTAGGTTTACTACTCAATTATTAGACATCTCTTCTATGTAGTGTCAGTGTAGTGTTTTTCTTTGCAATCTTTTCGTCGGCCTTTTATTGACGAGTCATTTCACATTCAAACGTTTGCATTTTTTTTTTTTTTTTTTTTCTTAATTCTCTGCCGTGTTTAGTACAACAATTTGCTTCTTGTTCTATTTTTCTATTCATTTTTTTTTATTCTTATTTATGTTTTTTTTTGTTATTGTATTTGTTGTTTACAGAGTGAAAAACTTTTGTGGCTCTGCTGGTGAAGGCATCACTTCGGATTCAAATATATTGCATATGCGGTTTTATGCTGAGCAAATTGCCATCAATTCAACTTTTTCCATTTTGTTTACTGCTTTTAGGGATCGCGGCAGCGGAGGTAAGTTTAGAACGAACTTAAGTCGAATTTCATCATCCACACTGCAGGATTTAGAAAGAAAAGTAGGCTCAATTATGCCACTTGGTAGTATAACTGATCTAAACATATATGCATCTGCCCGTACACACATACATGGCATATATAAATGAAGTTTTTCTAAATTTTAAAAATGGGAAAAGTTCAAAGCGTAAGAGCAAACACTTCTGTTACTTGTAGAGTGGAAGGAACAACAATAACAGCAATACTGGTCTATAGATTATTTTGAATTCAAAATTAATCTAATTACAAAATGTGGCGCCCAAATGTCTACTTCCGGAGGGTGTGTCGTTCTGTGTGTTTTTTTTTTTTTTTTCATGATAACTGCTAAGTACTTTGTTATTAAAATACGTTTCATTTATGCATAATTTTCCATAATTTCGTAACAGGATTTTTAAAGGGGTGGGGCAGGCGGATATATGCTTAATTCAATTTTTGATATCATACTATTGTTTATTGATGATTGCGAATGCAATGATATATTGAGCATGTCCGCTTTCCTTGGAGTATTTGTGGTTTTATTATTTGATTTTTGTCTTAACACTGCGGATATAAGTGTGCGGCTGTTACTTTAGAAACTTGTATGCAAATGTAAAAAAAAATTTGCATTCAAATCAGTTGGGCTATCGATTTTATTCTATATGTATTCGATATACATGCATGTTAGCAGTAAGTACTTCTACATGCTGTTGGTGTGTTTGTTTATTAAAATGTAGACGTGAATGTATTTGTAGTTTTCAGTTTACATTAGACCAAATGCCAATGTTTGTTATTGCCGCTGTCGCTGCTGCTACAATATCTGTTACTGATAAAACCGATAACAAAAACCATTGCAATGGTGATGATGTTGGGAATGATGATGACTTTTAAAGGGCTGTTGATAACAATTGCGGACGACTTGACAGTGTTGCTGCTATTGTTCAAAATTTGATAATTTTTCCTTCCTGCAAATAAAAGCTTTGTTTGTATATGTTCTTGTGTGTAAATTTCTATCTTTTAGAAAAATGGAAAGAGAAAAAGAGAAAAAGAGAGAAAGATAGTTAGAGTGGATGAGAGATAAAAGAGTTTGTTTTTCTAAATTGCAACAAATTTTCTTTGAGATTCATTTTATTGAAAGTCATTGTCTACATTTAGTTGTATGTACGTGATTTTTTCCCACAGGTTGCTTAGAAGGTGAATACGATTGTGAAGATGCGACTTGCATAGACGGCGATCTACGTTGCAATGGACGAAGTAATTGTAAATTCCTTTGGGACGAGGAAGGTTGCAAGGTATGTCCATATACATACAGTTGGCATAGCTTACATGTGTGCACCACAGATTCCCCTCCCTATACAACATAGTTTTCGACTATAAAAATAGCAAAAAAAAAAAAGAAAAAGAGGAAAATTTATTTATTTTTATTTTGATAACAAAACATATGAATAAATTGTTGTTATTGTGTTGACGTTCGTTTGCTTTTAACAAAACGTCCAACAATTTATTCCAATTTGTATTTTCTTTAGTTGCCACACTTCAATGATATAAAAAAAAAAAAAAAAAAAAAAAAAAACACTTTTTTCTATTTCGTTTTTCTCTTTCTCTTTCTTCTTGTCTACTCTCTCTTTTCAATTTTATATTTATTTCAATTCAGACGGGTACCGATGGCCAAAAGGAACACATGATTATTATTATCACAGTATTTGGTTTAATATTGGGTGGCATGGTGATAACATTCCTCGTGAATTGTATACGAAAAATTATGCACGATCAAAAGATAATACGGGTAAGTTTATGAGAATTTTTTTATTTATATATTTATTTTTTATTTTTTTTTTTTTTGCATATTTTCTCATGCGAATGAGAGTAATGCATATGCTAGTAAGGAAAAACAATAGAATCCCGTAGAATAAAAAGCACTTTTTTCCAATGAAGCTGCACCTACTGTGATATGTTGGTGAATAAATTGTTGTAAAATATCTAGCTGTTTATGTGTAAGAAAATTGATTGTCTGCACACAAACTAAACTGTCGCTCGCAGAAAATGATTTCAACTTAAAAATATTACCTTTAAATCTCTTTGCAGAACTTTACACATTTTCGTGTTCGCATAAACGTTTCACTTTATCTTTAGTTCAATTTACGTATATAGCAAATGCGCTAACGGCGGATGCTTACTGTTATTTTGTGGCTTTCTATCGTCATTGCGTGCATAAAGCCTATAAAAACTGACAATGCTATGCTGACTATACACTGACTGACGATCCGGAGATATGTTTTAGTTGCATTCGTTAATTATGTACATATTTTATATGAATTTATTTTCTATGAATATATGCAAAAAAAAAATACAAGAAAAATCTTAAATTCTTGATAAAAGCGAGGGCATATTAATTCTGTTATTGCTTATGTCACATTTATATATGTATTGAGTGTAAAAATCTTGATGCGTATTGCGTGTTTTGATGGTGGCGATCGATCTTTTAATTGATTTATTATAAATATCTTAATAAATCGTCACTGAGAAGAGTCATTTCAACAAAAAATACTGCATCACTTAATAAACTCATAGGATGGCGTACAGATGTTAGATTGCTATTGACGAATTCATATGATTTGTAGATGGTATCGATATGCAGATGTAATGTGTCAACATTTCATGACATTCCGCACCATTAGTTTACAAGTACAGTTTCAGATGCAAGTATGGATATGAATATCTAATCCTATGAACTTATTGAGTGACGTCTTCTATTCAAGCAAGCAAATTTTAAATGTTCTTGTAGTCGTCGTAAGAATTTGAATCGATCAGTAAACGACATCATAAAGTGACTGCATTTAAACGTCCAACCGGCGCATTCGATTGCCATTTCGTTAATAAGTAATATCCAAAAGAAGTAGATTCGCCTGGGAAGTGCTGTGGAAGCTGGATTGTACTCTCATGCCGAAGTTCATGTGGTGCCAAAATGATGTAAAATGTAAAAAGTTGACCTTGAGCAAAATCTTTAATAAAATATCTTTCATTATCTTGATACGTTATACCACTTGTAGTAAAAAGGGTACATTAAATTTGTGCGGATGTACACAAAACCCGGAAGGATTTGAGATGGACACCTTACAACACCGATCGAATCAGAATTCTGAATTTTGGAATCTATCTAAGCTTGTCTATCGGTCTTGTTTCCTTGCATTCAACGGACACTAAAATTTTTCGGCCCAAGAGCGAACGTTAGCGAAAATGGTTCGGATCGGACCAAACCTCCGGGGACTTCTAATATAACGCCTAATTTCGAGAAAGTTATTATATGAATTGTAAGGGTATGTAATGTATTTAATGATAAGCCTTAGCCCGGTATAGTGTTTTTACTAATTATTTCCCTGCACTACTTGCGGTACAAGGGTGTACTAAATTTGTGCCAATGTATGCAACATCTAGAAGAACTTGAGATAGACACAGTTTTTATTGTACCGATCGATCGAAAGTGACTCTGTCTTATCCGGCCGCTTAATGTTCTCGTGTTCAACTTACAGATAGCAATTTTTGAAATATTTCAATGAAATTTCGTGTACTGACCTACTTTCACCTAACGACAATTACTATTGAAAATGGTTCAGATCGCACCACTTTTTTGGCGTCATCCCATACAACGCCGTATTTTGAAAAGTTGTTATATAAGTAACTTTATTAATGGATGTATGGTATTTAATGGTAGGCCGTGGCCGACTATAATATTTTTGTTAGTCTTTAACGAAAGTGAAAAAGTTAATTCCTTTCCCAAATAAACGCGTTTGGAAGGCTTTATATTCACTCATGGTTCAATTCCTTTTATCATTTTTCCATTCGTAACCTAATTTAGGTAATAAACTATTGAATCGAGTAGTTTAGTATAAACTAATTCAGCTATGTTGCCACACGGCAAATCTAGAGGCACTAGTTTTCTGCCGAACTTTATCGGGAGTGATATTACGCTCTTTTCGGTTTTTCATTCAAAAGGAGTTCATCAATAAGACTTTTAAGAGCTTTCAGCAGACAAAGTGATAGAGACCTACAGATCTGAAATGGGATGGGAGGTGTGTTTTCAGTGTGATTTGTAATGGGCTTTCTAGCCAACGGGAAATGCGGTCGAGAAATATGTGAACTCTTGCCGGGATAATTCCGAGCTAGAAGCTAACTACTTGAAAAAGGTTTATTTCTATAATCTGACTTAAGAGAGAGCAATCTCTCGAAAACTCGTATTTTGAAACGAAGCTAGTTACTGAAATGGTGTGCGATGTGTTATAACGAAAAGCCGCAGAACTACTCCATTATCGTAGCTATTTGGCCATAATGCAAGTCGTTAATCTGCATGTTGTTAACACGCATTCTTACTTGCTTTCCTTACTCCTTTGTGTCGACAAAGGTGGTTGTGATATATTAAAGGCTGACTTTTGATCCGCAACGAATTTCGATTGCGGATGTGCTTGTACAGCACAGGGAAACGCAGATAGTTTCACACCAATAGAAGATTTCCTCGCTGCGATCCTTAAGGGCAAGCCGCACTTTCTCTTTAAGTTTTATTAGCATATATTTGAATAGCGTGGGCTTGCTATACGCACACTTAATACTAGTCCGTGTCATGTAATAAGCAAAAATTTCTTCTAGATATGTAATAGAGCAACAGCAAAACGGATTATGTTTTACAAAAATTAGGATTACGTAATGTGACCAATGTCAGACTGGCTGACATTCAGATACCTGTTTACGACTTATGATGCGACAATAGGGCTTGACAATTCCCGTAGGGTATAGTGGAAAGCGTGTGCGTAGGCGCTCTTTCTCCACTTTTTTTTCTAACCATTGCTCTGTGTACACAATTCAAGAGTGCTGTCGCTCAGAGTCAGCTGATTAAGTTTTAATTTAACGGAAATAAAAATGGATATTCTTAGACCTAGCATGAATGCGTACGGCAAAGATACAGAAGGAAGGGATACGTATGCCTCATGAGTGCTAACCGAAGACAGCAAAAATTGTTTGGCTCTCTGAGATCTCCTTACATTTCTCAAATTCATCTCGTACGATAATCAAAATCAAATGCAAAAAAACATGGGTTAATTCAGGAAATATCTCTTTCATATTTCTTACAAAGTTGCAGCTTTTGCCAAGGAAGTGCTACGGTCTTCTGTGGTGGGATTGGAAAGGAATCATTTACTATGCACTTCTAAAGCGAACGATATCAAGCGCATGTAATCAAAAAAAGTGAAGGTCTCGAGGCAGAAAGACCATTTAGGAGCAAAAAAAAACTCGAAAAGTTGGTTTGCATCAAAACATCCAAAAAAGTGATCGTCAACTTGGCCTGAAAACTACTTGCGGACGTGGGACGCACTCTCCAGACTTGGCCGCTGCAGATTACCACCCGGTCAGATGAATGGAGTCGTATTTAGCAGATCAGCAGCCTCGCAAAATTGAAGATACGCGAAGGCAGCGGGGGCATCCGTAACCTATCCGATAAATGAGAGAAGCCCATAGATAATAATGGCATCTATAATTCGATTGTTAAGATTTCTATTATAAGTATTATTAATTTCGCCAGAGAAATAAATTCTAAGGCTAAACTCTTAAAAGCACTAGCATCTAAGGCTATCGGCTTTTATTAAAAAAACTCTACCGCACTTGAGATCATTGACTTGCTAGTCGAGATTCCTCGCCTTCGGCTACTCAGGCGGATACTTTTATTAAGATTTCTAGAAAAATGTGTTTCCAACAGATTTGAATTGTATTAAAAAGAAGATCGAGAATTTATTTGTAGGCCCAATATATTTATTTGAATTTCTTATAATTCACACCGACGACAACTATTGTAATTAATTTAGTAAGTTGCCATTTAGTGAAACATCTTTCAAAAATGTGTGCCTTCTTCTTCTAAACGTTAGACATATGGGTAAATAGGCGTAGCTAAAATAATCTGGAACCTTTGAGACTTTACTTTAGATCTTGCGTATAAAATACAAAGTGTATTTTTTTTTTTTTTTTTTTTTTTTTTTTTGCGAACTGCAAGAAGATTTTTGTTTGTATGATGTGCAATGAAAAAATTCCGTTACCCGTCTTTAATGCGACTCTGTTTTACAGTTCAAGCAATTGCTTAGAAAGTTCATTGCTAAGTAAGTCGATTATGGTTCGTTTTATACCAATAATCATTCTCTGAATGACATGCAACGAGTCTTTTATTATTATGGAATTTTAGCATTTAAATAGCTAAGCTTGGTGTCGCTGTTACGTTTGAAAGGAATTCTCTAGTGAATGAATAGAACCAATAAACTGAATGTAATAAATTCTAGCTGGGATGTTAACATCCATAAGAGAGATAGATAGATATACATGAAAATATATATATATATTATATATTCATTCACATATTTACATGTAAATATGGGTTTTGTTTTTTTATTTATTTATTTATTTATTTATTTTTTTTTTTTACATTTTTAAACAGTTATATACTTATTTATTTACTTACATATGTAATTTATATTTGAACACATTGCCGAAGGGGATATGACCTAATTTCCTTCCTTTCTTTTACACAACGAGACACTCACCCACAAAACGCAAATACATTGTGGCTTATTTTGAGCATAAATTCTTAGATTGTGGATAACTACCCGAAGCGTATGTGTGTCTCTGTGTTAATATTGGTATGCTTTTTGTAAAAACCGACATACCGACATACCGACATACATGTATGCGTACACTCTAATAAGAGAAATAAAAATTCTAACTGTGATAAACTATACTGTAACGAGTGAGTAG